ATTAAGTCTTTATAATTTATTTCTAAATACAAATGACTATTTTTCTTTGTTTTATTTTCAAATAAGTATTGGAGCGTTTATTTATAAAAATTAATGTGATAGTAGTAATTTATTTTTATTTCATGATTAAAATTATTATATCTTGAAAATCTATTTTTATTTTATGTAGATATTTATATTTATATTGCATATAAAACAATTTGATAGTTGCATATGAATAACTTAATACTTTTGGGTTGTTCTAAATGTTTAATCAAACATTTTTTACTTTTCAAAAATTGCTAAGATTATCTATTTGGGTTTATAGTTATAAATGCATAATAAAGTTTTTTTTTTTTTATACATTTATAATCAAATTCTCGTTTAAAATCACTAAATATATCAATAATATTTTATTTAAAATTCATACATTTATTTTGTTGTACTAATTCTATTGAATATCTTATCATATACTTTAAAATCATACTAAATAAACAAAAACGTTAAGCCATTAAATATTTGATAAGCACATGTACTACTGTATTTTGGTCGTTAAAAGTAATTAAATTACTTTTTTTTGATAAAAATCTTTTAAATGTAGATACTCAAGAATAATATTTCAATGTTATCATACCGAATAACAAGTTGTCCCATTTCAGTTAAAATATAGTATAAAAATTATCAAATAAACTTTGGTATTCTTATTGTATTATATATAAATATAATATTTATTTCAATGCTATATTTGGTACTTATTACGCATATTTTTTAAGTGAATTATTTGATTTTATATACCAAAATCCTAAACTTTATTAACTAATACAAATACATAATAATATATTATAAACGAAAAACTGATAAATTCATTTCAACTATGGCTTACATTTTTTTTTTTTTTGCTTCATACTTTATCTTAATTTATTGTATACCTAATATTGAAATTAAACTATCATAAGAATATAATATATTATATAACAATAAATCAAAAAAATGTTGCATATAATTAATCTATAAATATAGAAGAATAGAAACAAATTGATTTAGATAAATATACTAAAGAATTTAATACTTTTCTATTATTTCTCAGATCTTTATGAAGATAACGAGTAATTTAAATTTTATATAGCAAATAATGTTGATGTAAACAGTTTGAGCTATCGTACGTATAATAATGAATACGCTTTTTAATTACTCATAATTACAATTAGATATTCGCATTTAACAGTATGATGTTTGCTGATTTTTATCGTACATTAAACAAAATTTCAGCTAAGCATAACAGCGATGGTATCAGAGATTTCAAAAATCTGTGCGAATAATTTTCGCTTATTAGACTTAAAAAATATATTTGTTTATTCAAAGACTTGTAAATGCAATTGTACAAAAATACATTCACCATGTTTTCGTGATAACATAACTATATAAGTCTGATTGGATAATGTCGTAACAATTAAATTATAATATCCCTCACACTAATATCCAAATAATTGGATGATTGACAAAATAAACTCAGAAAAAAAGAACAAAACGTTGTTCTAATAATCCTCTAGGTATTTTTCATGTCAATTGTATTATTTGGTTTAGTTTGACTTGGTATAAAAAGAACCTTTTAATACTGCTTGCTATATACAGTAAGTACGGAAAATCAAATAAGTACGTTTTCTAGTCACCTCTTAAATAATACATTGAATTGTAAAACACTAAATAAACCCGACCATTAGACTTTTATTTTTTTTTTCGAAAAATTAGTTCCTGTTTTCGACAGAATCAGCCAGCTACAATAAATTATCAGTCACTAAAATATAAAATAAATGTCGACCCTCTGAATCACCTCCTTATTATGACGTATAAACATCGAACAAGGTTTTATAGTATTTTTTTTTTTTTTTTATAATAATATATGTACATAACATATAATAGAATATAATACTTTATAGAAGAAAAATACATTACATGTTCAATAAAACATAACATTTAACATATCGTTTTTATCAAAAAACATTATAGAGATGAACGTTTTCATTTTGAGTGACAAAAAAAAGCATCGAGACACTTATGAAACATATAATTTAAGTAGGTAATATCATCGTTTAAATGTTACAATAATAAATCAAAAACAGATAGAAGCAGTCATAAAAAGCACTTATAAATACACTGCTTACAAATATAGATTCAATATTATAAAGAACGATCATTGAATGAATAAATCTAAAAATTCTGAATGAAATAACTGTCGATAAAAACAAAAAACATTCAAATTAAAAAAAAAACCAATCAATACCAAACTAAAAAAAAAATATATATATTTAATTATTTTCTTACATATTTATTTTTTTACACACATATATATATATATTAGTTATTCAAATAATAAATTCTTAAAACCAAATGTATAACAGCTAGAATTATATATATATATTTTTTTTGTTTTAAATATAAATTAGATATGCATACGTATCTAAGTATATTTATGTACAAAGGCTTAAATATTTTGAAAGTAACAAATATACAATAACTGTTGTCATCCTAAACAGAAAAAAATATTTTATTAAAATGTATTTTTTGTTTATTTTAAAACAAGTATACAGTGTATGTATAGTAACAGACTAAAATAACAATGACTTATTACGAAACATTTTAACTATATACCTACGCTTACATACCTCCATATATTTTTAACTTACATGACTTTACATTGTTTTCTGTTTTTTTAATTAAATATTAAATAAAATATTGCGATTTACATTAAAATAGTACTATGGATATTTTATTTATACAGCTTATGTAAAAATTAAATCATCAATGCTACTATTTAAAATAATCTATTATTTTGAATGATTACTATTTTATTTTTAAAGTTAAACATGGAATAGGGATATTGATTAGTGATAAAAATAGCACGATTTAATAGAAAAAAACATATACAGATTAAGATTAAATTATCATTTATTTAGCCTAGGGAGAGTTCATGCGATACGTTTAGATTATACAGTTTTATTTAATCTAATACTATTTAATATATTTATTTTAGTTTTCAATTTTTATTAAAATATAAAACCATCTATTAGTAATACATGTGATTTGTTAAATTATTTTAAAATGTAATATTAATGGGGCTGTATAAAAAGTATTGAACAAAAATGTTGTAAAAATGAAAATTTGTGTAATATTATTACATTGTCAAATATTACCTAAACTTAAAACATTTTCTCATTAAATTTCTAAAGGTGATGTTAAAATAATAATATTTTATTATAATTATAGCATTTGACTACAATCACAAATATTTAAATCGCACAGAAAATCTTGATCTATCAAATATCAATACTGCATGATCAAATAAATTAATTTATCTTGTTCATTCCGAGTACCTACATATGTGTGTCAGCTGTGACAAAAGTGTGGGGCTTAGGCAGATGCGATTTAAATTCTGTAAAGTTTCACACATTTTTTAGAACACACTCTAGAGTACAGTCAAAAAGTTTTGTTCAGAAATACTTATTTCAACTGAATATATGATTTAACATTAAAAACATGTTCTTAAGTACTTTCGTTATAGGTACCTTATAGTGGAATAAAATATAATAGTTCCGTTTCAATTTTTCTTAAACAACAAGATAAAAACATTAAAGAAATTGAAAAAAATCTTAACAATATAATTTAAAATTAAAAAAAACAATGAAAATTAAAAGTAAAACGGAATTAATTAAAATTTACAACATTGAAGATCGAACGAAGTATTCTATTGGCGGAATGAAAGATACGAATAATAGAGGCGTTTTGGATAATATTGGATGTTGATTGTTATTTAAAAAAATTAAACCGTTATTTCTTGTTTTTTCGGCTGGAAAACTCAATTTAATGTCTGCCAATAAATACAGACAGTCCACAATATCAGAAATAATACCAGATAAATAAAACAGCTTCTTATATTCAGATATGTGCATGGTGAACTGCTAATATAGGCAGGTTTAGCAAGACAGCTATTGATGCACCGCCATGACGAATACAAAATAATTTGAAAATTGGGAATTCGTAATACGTAATATAAAAAAAATAGACATAGGTACTGTAAGAAGTTAATATTGACCTGCTTGTTCACTATTAAATCCCTAGATGTGTGATGGTTCAAAAACACAGAACCCTTTTTTCATGTACCGATTTTATGAGGACAAAATTTGACAATTCGAGAGAGAGACAGATATGTAGTTTAAAATCTCGGTATATCCTTTTGATAATACTCTGACGTTCAAAGCTATGTATCATATTTCTTTGTGGTGCATTTTAGGACTCTGATTAATAGTTTCATATCAAGAAATTAAACAATGGTCGAAAAGTTTCAACTACAGGGGTGGGGTGTAAACGGAAACGCCTCTTTACACTACACGCAATGAATGCTATTTCATTTATTTATTTTTTTTTTTTTTTTGTCCTCAATCAGCAATAAATATGAAAATAAAAAAAAAAAATTTAAAGCCTATGAATAAATACGAATAAAAACAAATAAAAGCAGAGTCTCGTTAGTAATTCTTGTTATTCTCAATTCTAATAGCGTACACATACACAGTGTACACAATAACGATAGTATTAGAGAGAAAAAAGTTAGAATTACTTTGCGTCCAATCGTAAAATTGATAATAAACAATTGACGACTGACGTTAAGTACGAAAACGCGCGACGAGTTTATTTTGGGGTACATTTTACTGACGAGCGGTGGCGTGTGGGGTTTTGCGCGCCGTCACGCATCGCAGGGTTCACCACCACCCCTGCCAACGCTCATGTCTCGCGTCAAAAACGAAGTCATAAATACGTTTTATTTCACTTATGTGTTTGATAATTTCCGGACCTCGAGACGGAGGACCCAGACCCGATCTCGAGCGGGACGCGCCACGTTCCGACACCCCAATACTCCGTTGTTCGAACGGGCGACACTCTCGTGCCCGGAGCACACGAGTTCGGCTATAAAAAATACGTAATAATAATTCTGTGTTTTTATTTTTTTTTTTTGTTTTGTTCCGCAGGCTTGAGACGCCCATGCCGCGTTCGGACGTCGGACGGAGGTCGCGGACGATCCGATGAACTCGTCGGCCGACAATCGGTCGTCGTCGTCGTCGCCTTTGCCCGAGTGGAGCGGCGGCGGCGGCGACGGTGACTCGTACGCGCGCAACGAGACGACCGGGGCGATGTTCTGTCCGTTGTTCGAGAGCACGGACGCGGACGAATACAACCTGCTGTTCGAGTTCGTCACCTACGGCGTGCTGCTGAACGTGATCGGCGTGTTCGGCATACTGGGCAACGTCATATCCATGGTGATCCTGTCCCGGCCGCAGATGAAGTCGTCCATCAACTACCTGCTGATCGGGCTGGCCCGGTGCGACACCGTGCTGATCGTCACTTCCATGCTGCTGTTCGGGCTGCCCGTCGTCTATCCGGCCACCGGGCACCTGTTCAACTACTACTTCAAGGTGTACCCGCTGATCGCGCCCGTCGTCTACCCCATAGCGATGATCTCGCAGACCGTGTCCGTGTACCTGACGCTCACCGTCACCCTGGAACGGTTCGTGGCCGTCTGCCACCCGCTCCGCGCCCGGTCCCTGTGCACGTACGGCCGGGCCCGGGCCTACGTGGTGGCCACCATAGCGTTCGCCGTCCTCTACAACGTCACCCGGTTCATGGAGGTGACCGTGCAGAAGTGCATGCACACCAGTTCCAACCAGTACGTGTACCAGGTATACCCCAGCGAGCTGCGCAACGACCGCGACTACATATCCATTTACATACACTGGATGTATCTGCTCATCATGTACTTCATACCGTTCGGATCGCTGGCCGTGCTCAACGCCGCCATATACCGCCAGGTGAGCTGGACAGGTTGGTTTAGCTTTTAACAGGCGTGGCGAAATCGCTGGTCGAATTTTCCCGCTGCATTACCGAAATCGAGTTCTCCGCCTGACGGATGTTCGGTGGCAACTCCGTTTTCAGTACAACAGCCGTGTATTGTGTTTACCCGAGAGATAGTGAATTTTCCGCGTTTTATCACTGCTAGCGCTCGGTCCGTGCACTTACTTCCATAGACTTTCTAAATTGAAATTTTTTTTTTTTTTTTTTAATAACAACTGTTAAGCCATTTGTAAAATTGTCGTTTATTGGCAATCGATTAAATACACCATACATCGATTGAGCACTAAAACAATGGCGTCACAGCAAGAATGAGTAGGTAGTGCTTAAATTTTTCGCGGAATTCAAGGAAGTCGTAATAATAGCTTAACGTTCCGGAGGGGAGTGGGTGGACATAATGATATTTTTTTCCTCACGAGATCTTATCAGACGATGAAATTTAATTTGGTTTTTGACATATTTATTAATTTTATTTCAATATAAGCAAATAAATCTATTGATTGAGTTAAAAAAGTATAAATGACATTTTTATTTCTTTTATTTTTAAGATAAGTAAAAAAAAAACCACCGTCATCGAAATGTTTTGGTTCACTTATAACTTAAAACTATTATACTCACGTCATATACTAATGTAAAATAAATGATAGTCCGAAAATAAATACTTTTCGTGGTTGATATTTGCAGCTATAAGTATATAAGTGCATTACTAAACAGAGTATATACATATTACTTGATACGATAACAGATAACTATAACTAAATATAGATAGGTTCAATAAAACAAAACAAATCAAATCACTCTAAAAACCATAGTCTATAACTCACTTTAAATTTGTACACTAATGATTCACACGTTTTTTTCACTACATATTATATTATAATAGATATCTCTTCAGCGACAAGTCTTTCAAATTCAAATTATTTAAAGCGAGACTTGCCAATAATAACAACAGATTAATATATGTACCTATGCATTTATACTCTATGCAGAGAATGTGATATTTTGGCGCGAAGATACTTCAGCGTGAGTAATGTCGGAAATAGGTTATTTCGGTGTGGAGTTTTTTACTTATTAAATATATAAACTACGAATATCAATGGATTTATACATAAGATTTAAAAAAATTAAAAAATAATAAAATAATAAATTATTTGTTTTTATTTTAAATTTAGAAAATAAATCATAGCCAGATGAGTATTTGTCGTAATGTAATTGTTTCAATCACCAAAAAATAACTACCGTTGACTTCAACTGAAAAAGGTTGAATAAAATAAATTGGTCCTCGCAGAATTGTTCTCAACCAACTGATACAATTAAAAAACAAAAAATTATAGCGTTCACTTTAGATTAGGTTTTTTCAGTTAAGTGAGTACAATACTATTATAAACATTTTGCACTAAGTTGTATTAATATTATTAAAGTTGGTCAATGGATGAGGTTACGGGCCATGAATCATGTGATTCACTGCGTATGGCTGTGACAAGTTACTCTCCAATGGGTTAAGCACTCTTGTGTGATTTTACGTCATCTGTGTATGGGTGCGTGGCTTTTGGTCGCATTAAATCAAGATTATAGTATGACGCATGTATTTGAAAATATCGTAATAAAATTTATTGTTAAGTAAAATTAAAATAAATTTCCGCTTTCAACAAGTAGATTGAAATATGTTTAATACCCATTGGTGAAAATGTATACATTATTCAATAGAACTTTAATCGATGACAAAAACTATAATATTATATTTTTTTTAGCGCTTTCTAAATTTTAATATCAAGCAGTTCTATAATATTAACGATCAAATCGGTGTATGTGAAGTTAATAAAATATTGAATAGCATATTACTTATTGTAAACGCACACAATTCTATTTATTAATAGTTTATGTTAATTATCTTTACGTGACTAGATTTTTAAATTTAAAAGTCAATTTTCCTTATTGAATTCCATTATTTTAATACATTTTTATCAAGTTGATAATCATAACAGAATAAATTATTATCAAAAACACAAACGAAGAATTTTCAATCACTATTATTTTTATTTTTATTTTTAGTTTTCTAACACAAGAAATTTAAACTACCGGATAGTGTAAATAATATAAAATTTACTATAACCTAATTACAGTTTAGAGCATTCTACGGTTTAAGTAAAGTTTTGCAGAAAAATGTTTGTGATTTATGTTATACTATTCAAAATAACTTACTTAAGTTTTGAAATGTGTAATGGGCAAAAAAGTGGTAATTTAAGTCTTTTTAAATTAAAAACCACGAAACCAAGATAAAATATAAACCTTCTAAAAATAGTGTGAAATAAAAAATTGTGGCATATCCATGAATATGCTTTTGTATAAAATATATTCAATAATTAAAACAAAATATTGAATATCTTAAAAGGAATTATAATAAGTCTCTGTTATTTATCAAATGCCTTCGAAATATAAAAAAAATATATATATCAAAATCCTTTTGAAATATAGTAAGTTTAAAGTCGGTGAAATTATATATATGATACAGGGTAGTAATAAAACGCCTTAATATATTCGAAAGGAAACACCCACTATGAGTGTAATAATATATCACACTATATATCAAATAATAAGTACATAATATTACTGTAGTTAACAAAGAAAATATTATGCTCAGTTTCTTTGTATATTTCATTGGATTTAATTTTTAATCATATTTATTATCTACTAAAGTACTAAATATTATATGTTCTTATTTATAACTACAGGAATATTTAATAAATATTTCTTGTAGATAATAATTTTAGACAAAATGATCGAATGAATTTGACAAGTGGAGCAAATAGGGAGTTAAATATATCTATTATTTATATTTTATACGGTATGTAAATAATAATATCAACAATAAAAATTGTTTTCGAACATGTATTTTCATAATGTCAAACATGTATTTGACATCATGCTTGTAAAAATAATTAATATTGGGATTTTGTATATCTTTGGCAGATACTATTGTTTTTAATAAAATTACTTTCATTTAAAAATGATATAAATAAATATTTATTTTTTTTTTTTTTAAATAATACCAATATTTTCTGATGTATCGTATTGTTATGTCTTACATTTTAATATTACTAATATTTAATTTATATTTAATGTTAGATTATATTGTAATATTTAATTTGAGTTTGGATTTTAAAAAGTTTTCTATTCTAAAACTTGATTATTTAAATGTATATGCTTTAAGTTTTAATTTTAAATACAATTAAAATAATGAGTACCTCATTTTGGTTGCAACGACTTCTTTTCATTTTTATAGCCATTTAGATGATATGGATTTCTTAGCCAATTCATTTTAGTACTTAGATGTTTAAGTTAAATGATAACATTTGCTAAGGGTACGTTACCATTAAGCTATTTAGGGAGTTTTCATTTGAGATTTCATCCTGAAAGTTTAGCTATTTTGCTCGGATTTTGCTCGGATGTAATTGAATAACTTTAAGGTACAAAGTGTTCTAGAAACGCACATTAATGATGTTTGACACTCGCCGAAAATTGTTTTACCATTTGACTTGATCATGCGTAAACATGTTATACTGTTTGTTATCTATTACAATACATACTATACATTTAATAAATCATTAGCTAATGTTTTCCCAAAACAATTATTGTTTTAGATCAATGTTTTTGGAACTCAAATAAAAATTTCAAAATTGTTGAAGTGTATTTTATCACTCATTTAAATCTAATCAAGACTTTTTAGTTAGGAATCTTACGATACGTATTTAATGTATATTAAAACATTTTATCTTACGTTAATGAATATTTAAAGTAATGTAATATATGACAAGACAATTATTATTGAAATCAATTTAATTGGTATTTAATAAATTATTGTAGATATTAATCTTTAGATTCTGTGCAATGCTTAAAGATGGATTATACTCGCTACATAAATTACAAATAAGACCTCTCATTTTCTGTAAAAATAAATATAAATATATGTACGCAACTATTAAGAACTATTGAAACAATTGTTTTAAAATAGCTTAGGTACTCGAATCATTTTTTTAATGCGATCAATTATTGCTATAAAATATAAATTGTATATTTTTAATATCGCAATACACATATCATCGATGATTAAAACATTCGATTCCAGTGTAAATGATTTTCTTATCTTTTTCATGAAAATTATTCATCCATATTCATGAAAATCTATTTAAGAATAGTATTAATAATCATGAACAACAATTAATTTAATAAAATGTTTTTCGATGTACTTAGAAAAATACATATTCAATTAATTTTTTTTTATATACATAAATATTATATACTTTAATACTTCACTTTTATTCAAATAAGTTTTATCTACAAAGTTTTTATTGAATAAAAATCTTTTGATACAAAATTATTGTAAACTACACTGAACAAAAATATAAAATGTATTTGTGCTAATATGGAAAACAAAATATCAATCATTTTTGTATAATAACATTTTAAATTAACTAAAAAAAAAAAAAAACAAAAAAAAAATTACAGTAACAATATGTTGTTTTTAGAAAACTATTTAACTATATGTAATGTTTATTAAACATAGATAACAGTAGTATAATCATTTAATTTTAAATTTTAAGCAATTCAATATATTTTTTTTAGAATTTAAATGAAACTAAAATAATTTAAATATTACTCAATTCTAGCTCTGGAATAATATATATTATATATAATAACAACATAAATGGTCTAAAATTATAATTTTCTACGTGGCCTATTTAATGGCTGATATAATTAGTTGATGCACTTTTAGGTTTATATTTTATCTATTTTTAAAGCAGATAGTTAATACACGTAAAATAAAAATGGATATTTTTTTATTGGGTTTCAGAGATTTTTTTTTTTTAATTTACTTACTAAAATTAAATACTCTATAAGCAATTCGTTCAAATCGAAATGTTGAAATGAACGTTTGGTAAAAAAATATTTAATTATTTTT